AAACAGAGTTACATATGCACAAATCAGTACATCTCACAGAGAAATATGCAACAAAAGATACGGGAAAATATGGCACGCAATAAATTGTGCAATCGCTTTGTTTTAGCCCGTATTATTAAAATTTAACACAGAAAAGCGTCGTTTTGAAATAAGTGAAGGAAAACAAGGGAAATTGTAAGAAACAGAGATGAGACAATACGCTGGCTTTGGAAACAGCATAACTAGAAGGTACTGTGAAAAAGAAGGGGAGGACACGGGATGAGCATTCCGGGGTGCTTGCCCAGGGACCCCTACAAGCATAGAGGCCCCATGCGAAATCTACGAAATATGTTTAATATTATCAACCATTTACATGGATCTGCTATCACTACCGACGGTCGGCCTATGGATCATGCTGATATTATCAATGCCCTCAGAGAAATGGGAAGGATAGAGGACTTTGGTGGCAGTGAATCCACATCACTCGCCAGAATGGCAGACTTGGGAATTAAGATCGGCACAGCAAAAAACGAGACGCACACCGGACACGTCAGAAGACTTGTTAATCAACATAGAACTGGTACTATTAGCCATCGGACGTTGGGGTTCATACTGAGGGGAGGATCTGAGCACCTATGGACATGTCCGGAGTGCAATGACGACAACCCAACTAACTAACTAACTAACTAACTAACTAACTAACTAACTAACTAACTAACCATTTACATTTTCTTCCTGTAAGAGGTTGTCGAAAGGGGCACCAGCACACTAATTTGCCCAAAGACCTATTGTGTTGTTGAGACAGCCCTGCTCCCAGCTGTATCATTCTCTCCAGACCATAATGATATATTTGTGCCTGCATATTATTCGTTTTCTCCCAACGTGACTTGACCACATGTAGTACCTGTTTGATGCTCATCTCAAGTACGAGAATCAATCAGGAGCAGATCTCACTAGCCCAGTTCAGTCATAGAAGACATTTATATTCGGACACCTCAGTGTTAGGTGACGGGATGGGGTTGCCAAAGGGGGAGCTTAAGGTTATAATTGAGACTAGGTTATGTGTGCCATATTTTTTTTTAACGTATCCAGAAACCATGAGTTGTAAACCCTTTGGCTCGGTACTATGGATATCGCAACTCTTCGGCATAGATTCCATTATAGGTACCGTTAATCTGGGAGAAATGTGGCTTTTCTGCCTACCCCCGGGAGTGAACCCGGACCACAAGGAGTTCGAAAATCAGGTTTAACCAACTTCGCTAGAGAGCCGGGCTTGTGTGCCATATAAAATGACTTAGTACTACACGCTACCAAGAGCCATGAAAACTACTCCTGCAGCGTTGATGCGATCACAGGAGACAGACCCAAATACTGTTCCTACCGGCGACAAAGACGTCTACCGGCGAGCCAATGGGCGACCCAGTCGCCAATCGAACCTGTAAAGCGGGCAACGAAAATAGTAAAATTTGTAAGTGTTTACAATTGTTAACCCTTGCTCACTACACGCAGGGGAAAGGCAAGACGGACATATAACCAGATTATGACCGGTACCATTAGCACTGAAACTCTGCGCTGGCTGCTGAAGATAAGGGCACAGCACGCATGGGAATGCCCTGAGTGCTGTGATGTCAAATTTTGACTCAACTCATTTGTTTCCCCTTGGTAACCCCTGTGAGGTAAAAGTTCAGAGGTTAAATGACAGTCAGCAAAACACAGGTAACAGTTACACAATCGTTATTATTTAACAAACCGCACTTTTATCTTTTATTGGTCGGTCACGGATATTTGTGGTATAACTCTGTTGTTTCTTGATTATCTGCAGCGCATGTTCTTGGAGTTAATAGTCGGAGAAAGTAATTGCGTAATCTTAGTTCTCTCAGAAAAAAGCTTTTTTTGTGCTGGTACTCTCACCATGCCACTAGCATCATTATGTGCTATGCGGATAATCATAAACTGTCATGTTTTACCATCTCATACGATCACCAGAATAGAGGATCAGGTCAGTGTTCTTACCTTGCGATTCAGCTATTTGGCAATCCTTGCAACGGCAACCCTAGGGGACGCAATCAATTGTTGTTGTAAGGGGGACGATCCATTGTTTGTGTACGTTCACGCAATGATAATATTCTTTCATATTTGATATTCTTTGAGATTAGGGTAAGGTTTTGGTGTAGGGTTAGTGCTTTGGTTAGGGTTAGCCCTAACTCTAATACTAACCTCAAATAATATTAAATATGAAAGAATATTATTATGTGAATGTACAGAAACAAGGGCTTAACCCCCCTGGGGTCAGCACTTAATGTGATGTTAACTAACAATTGATTGTCTCCCATAGGGTTAAAGTCCTTACGTCCTTTTCAGGACGTAATTTTTTGTTATTTGAAGCCCCACTCTGGCTATTGCCAGGGGCCGCAATATAGGCAGGCCATAAAAATGGCCAAAAGTCTGAACGCGGTTTCTGGGACCTCTCCACGGTGATCTTCATCCGCATGGTGGCACTTTGTGTCATCGGGTGTTTATCGCTTGTGTGATGTCCTGGTGGGGTAGAAAGTCACTCACTCTCTCCCATAGGGTCGCTGTTGCAAGGATTTATCTCTTTGCCTTCTCCCTGCTCTTTTCCCATCAAAGGAAATCACCCAGGTATAGCGGCCAGACGCTTGCCTGTGGACCTGAAGTCTTGTGTTTATATCTATATTTAGCCGGATTAAAAAAAAAAACAACTATACTGTGGTTTCCGTGTCAACAAAGCCTAAATGGGTGCCAGGTAAAGTCACTGAAATTCAAGGCGGCAGGCTGATGCTGACCACATCTTGAATCAAGTGTTAATTGGTCTAACAATTTGGTTATGGTTAAGTACCAGCAAGGAGATAAAAATTAGAATTTTGAGAGCATGCATCTTCCCTGTAGCAACATACGGATGTGAGTCGCGAACTATTTCCCAGTCCTTAAGAAAGAGAATAGGGGCTTTTGAGCTGAAATGCTATAGACAGATTCTCAGAATATCTTGGACGAAAAAGAGGAGAAATACTGACATCTTGAAAGATTTGAACACCAAGGAAGATTGGCTAATAAAATTTTGGTCATATCAAGCGCCACGACAGTTTGGAAAAAATTATAGCAGAAGGCATGATACCAGGATGAAGAACAGGGGCTGACCAACTTGAAGATGGGCACAGGATATAAGTGACTCCTTGGGTATGAAAGTGCATGAGATGGGAGAGCTGGCGAGAGACCGAGTTTCTTTCAGGCAGACCATGATGAGACTGACCTTTTGCAAAGGGCCTGTTACATGATGATGATGATTACTGTTTAAGTATCAACCAACACACCGCATTTTAATTACTTATAATATGACTCACTTTTTTACCACCTTCTGTTCCTGATCATTGTTACTTATCTACACTGTCATAACTTTTACTTGAACACGTTCTGTCCTGTGGTTTTATTATTTAAACTCCTGACACTAAGCATTCATTAGTTTATGAAATAATCTCTTTATGGGGAAAAAAGTTGAGTACCATATGCTTGGTGCTGAAAGAAGAGAAATACATTACTATATGAGGATTTTCTCTGTGTAAATTAACTGTATAAATACTAATTAGTGTATTGTAACTGACTCTGAAAGCATGCTGAAAAAGGTGAAAACAGGATTGCTTTGAGCAGAGTGGCAAGCTTCACTTGCAAAGTCACGGGTAGTTAGCATATTTTGGATCATTTATCAAGGCTATGCCAGCGTGTTGGGTAATGAACAGACAGACAGACTGGCTGGATCTGCACCACTGGGTAATGAATTGATACATGACATGGCAGATGGGGTCAGTGACCTTTGGAAACAAGTAAGGTAGTCAGAAGATAAACTAGATTATTATGGGCTGGAGAGAATGATGCACCTCGGTGTGACCAGAGGGTTCGGCCGGCACACTACGCTCAGAGGAAAGGCAAGACAGACGCACAACCAGACTACGACTGGCACCATTAGTATTGGAACTCTGCGCTGGCTGCTGACGATGGGGATAGAGCACCAATGGGAATGCCCAGAGTTGCTCTAATGTCAATTCCTAACTCAACTTAACTTATTAGTGTTTATAGAATAGGAAGAAGTAAATATAACAGAGAATACACAGAACACTGTAGAAGACATACAGATATGAACACATTGAAGATGCATCAATTTCTGCTCTTGAAAAAAAAACACATTTTGTTTCCACTATAAACATTTTTTCCCCTCATAATTGAAAAACAAAAATTTATGAAAGCTTGGAAGACAACAAAGAAAGATGATTGAACTGCACAGAAAACTATATTAGACCACACAACATGCACAGTTTGAAATAATACATATATGATGTGTTATTAATATTTCCATTTTCTTTTTAGAAAACATTGATCTCTCAACTAGAGCAACATTCTGGGTGACTCACAACATATGACTGATTTCAAAAAGGCGGTTTGTTTGGAGGTTACAGATCTGATTATAAAATACTGGACAGATAGGCTCCTGACTGTAGCCTTGTATGCAGGAGCAGGTGTTTCTATGACTAAATCATTTGTGAATTGTTGAAAAATATAGGATTCTTCATTATGATCATCACTCTTTACATTGTGCCTAGACTATGAGCCTAGCAGTGCATTTAGCTTTCTTTTAAGTGACAATTGTGAAAAACATTTCTACCAGCAATTTGTTTTATACCTGTTGTATTAAATAAACTGAAATGGTTTCCAGCCCTGTCACTGGATTATCAGTAGCACTGCAGTTTGGTTTTTAAATGCCCCTTAAACTCCTTAAGTACCAGCCTGGTGCTTATTTATTGTTTCTACCCGAAATAATTGCTACTTTAAATTGATACCATTTTTATCTAAAGCACAGAGTAATTACCCTCTAGATAAAAATAAGTAAATGTAACAAATGGCATTGACTTGAATTAAGTAGCAACTGGATAAGACTCGTTGTAGAAGGCATACTGTGTAAAGGGGAATCATTGAATACTTGTTAAATCTTTGTTTCTGAATGAGTTACGGCTATGCAAACTAATGAAACATATGCTGTGTCTGAGCAAGGGGCTCCCTTAAATCCACAGTTGCCAACTGTGACATCAGAAGAACACCAGAAGATCACTCACACACTCAAGCCTCAATCAGGCCTCCAGTGGCTCCTGTGGTCAAAGATGGAGGCCATCTTTACTTGTTGCTGGTTCGTTGTTCAGACATTTTTTTTAATCGCTGGCCTTACAGTTCTGCATTTTTCTACATTTTCTGTTATGGTTGCTTATCTCTTGAATGGAGCCGTCAGGCGGAGGAGAGAATTCCGACCTAATTACTAAAGAAAAGTATTTGACAGAGAAGCGTTCCAATATTATTACTGAATAAAATTAGTGTCCCAAGTGTCCAGAGCAAAACTGATTAAAGTGGCTTCAGGAATTTGAAACTGCAATAATGTAAGCATGTTGATATTACAATTACAGCTACATCTGAGCAGTTTCTTTCTTTCGGCGATTATCCACGAATGTAGGGATGTATCCACAAATGTAGGGATGTATCCACAAATGCAAGGATGTAACTGCATTGTGCCTATTAACTGCGATATTTGCTCCTTTCAGCTGACTTCTTTGAGTATTTGTTCCTGGGGTGGTCTACCCAGACCGAGCAGTTTGATACTGAAAATAAACAGAGGAGATACACTGCAGGCAGTAAGTGGCAGTTTGGTGTATGGTGATACAACTCTGGATAAACCATTTTCTTCTTCACGTTCACCAGCTGTAAACTTCGGCGGAAAGTTCTGGTTGTTCAACCACCTTTGGACTTTTGACTTGTTTCAGAACCTGAGTGTTGCGTGCTTATCCGTTTGACAGATCTGACTTATTTGTATGCAGTCTTGGTTCTGATGCACTCTGACTTTGAAGGAAGTCCTTAATTAGTCGACTCCTACAAAATGCATGTTGGGAAGGCAGTGGGTCTATTCTTGATTTCTCCACAATGGGGCCCCAGAACCCACACAGGGATGAACCATTTTGATTAAGGCTGTTAGAGTTTGGAATTTACTATAGAACTAGTTAAAATTATTGCAGCTAAAAATGATTCTGATATATAACTTGCCATGGGCAGCCAGCATTCACATGTTTTATCTTCTGCTGGGAGAGACTAAGTCTGGTCCGATGTCATATCAGATTATCTAGTCAATAGTCTGGTCTGACGTCATATCAGATTATCTAGACCAAAGTCTGGTCTGATGTCATATCAGATTATCTAGTCCAAAGTCTGGTCTGATGTCATACTGTTATCCAATCTAGTCCAAAATGTGGTCTGTTTTCCTATCAAGTTATCTCTTATCAAGTCCAAATTCTGGTCTGATGTTATGTCAGTTATCTAAAGTCTTACATGTGTGCATGTGTTCTCTCCCCCCCCCCCCCCCCCCCCCACCTTGTCCATAGCAGATAATCCCATTAGGCTGTGAAGTGTTGAGCATTGACACATTGTAGGCCATAACATTGGAACTGAGGTGGTCAGTCCCCTTCCTTGTTCCACCCGAGATAATTCTCTAAATTTTTTGCTGCTCATTGTATGAAGGAAGCTCGGACGCCCCAGGGCTGTACTGGTCAGGAAAAATATTCTTGCTTCTGCTGAGCATTGACTCTGAACCAGCATCTTAGAAGATGAGTGCACTAACCATTAGGCTACTGCAGCTTCTCTTGAATAAGAGTATCTGTATCCTCTTGATGTCATCACTGACACATAAGGCATTTGAAAATGATCTCCGCTGCCGCCCTTTATCTTAATTTTTGTGCACCTTTCCTGAAGAGTTCCCAGAGACAACTACTGAAATAATTCAGTCATACGTCTATTATTTTATAACCTAGTTATACGGAGTCAGATACAATCATGTTTCTGTTAAACTTTTACTATAACGTAATTTTGAAGCTGCTGCTGTTTAAAAAAAAAAATGCTGTTTTATTCTAGTAACATTGTCAGGTGATGCCAACAGTGTTTACTTTTCTCAGTATGTGTCATTTGAATTTTATTCTTTGACTGTCCCAACATATATTATGGAAATCATTAGGAAAACTTCATGATTATCAGTAAAACAAACGATGGTCTCCCCACGGACCGCCCATATACACACTAGCTTACTTCTGATTGATAGTTTCTGAACCTGTCACCTTGGTACAAGGTTACGGGGGTGTTCCACAATACTGTTGATATCGCGTGTTGTATATTTCAGCACGCCAGCGCTTTTAACACTCCAAAACATGGAAAAACTGGTCCTAACACAACTTCCCTAGAGAGTGCTGCAACCTCTCTTTCTCGGAATAAAAACGTAAATGCAAGACAACCCAGAAAGCACACAACAGCACACCTGTAACCTGCAGGAAAGTAGACCAGCCCAACAAACTTATGAATGAAACATGACCTACTTTGTTTGGGGAGACTAACTTAAACCTAACCGGATTATCTTATAGACAGGGTTTTTCTCTGGCGATACGCAACATTGGCACTTTTGTTCAACATTGCCACTTTTTTGTTTTGTTTTAACTTGAGTCCCAGAGGGTTTAGCATCACAGGCCCAAAGGTTGTCAAAAGAGACATGAAATCGACACATCATGCGTTCATTGGGCTTCTAGGTAGGAGCCTATGAACGTATGATGCGTTTCTTGGAACTCTAAGAGTTAAGGCACAATTTTCTCTTCTTTTAACCTTGTTGTAGTAGAAACTTTATGGTGAGTACTAGAACTTTTGGGAGCCGTCACGAAGTAGTGGCTTAATGCTGGCCTTCAGATCCGAAGGTCGTGGGTTAAATTCTGCATAGAGCTTGAATGTTTTCATAAATGACAAGTCGACCCACCATTAAACGGGTACCAGGGACAGAAAAATGTTTGGTGTGATATAGACATCATAATTCATCGATGGCCAGTTGGTCTAATAAAAAAAAAATTAGTCGAGCCCCATGTGCCCGATGTGCCACTGCCGTGTTATGGAACCTGACCAGCACTGTTTTCTTTCTAGAGAAAAAACCCTGCTTTTACATATTGTTCGAATCACTACAAATCTTGTGGTTGTTTTTACACACAAACTTTAATGGATTATGAAAACTTAGTTGCTGATCTCATGTATATATGTTGTTGTAACATTAGTAAAGCTTGGTGATTTTTCTTATATCTATTGTACAATATATTATGATTATTTTTATTCACATTTTCTAAAAGGATTCGGAAAATTCAATTAATATTTTTTTACTTTTTCAAATGATTATGAAAATATTTTTGCAGTCTTGCCAGCTCCTTTTACTTCCTTATGCCTCACGCAACAGTTATGTGAAAAGAGTAATTCATTCTAGTACTTGCGCTGCTGATAATTAGAGCTTCGAGTGGCCACAAAGACAAGGAGACTTTTATTGCAGAGACCTCATTTAAGTGACTTTGTGTAATTCTTGTTTGTAATTCAAACATTGTCTGTTCATGTCATGTGCTAATGAACACTTTCTGTCTTGTGTGATAATGTGAAGCTAACTTGTTCTACTTTTCTTGAAGTTAACTGTATCACAGAGAGCTGAAGTTGAAAGTAATAAACATTTGGTTCTCAAGGTGTTGAACAAAGAGACTGGTGCAACAGAAGTAGTTAAACTAATCATTTGAATAAGGGTTAGTTGCGTATCCTTTACAGGACGTTGCAGAACCAACCCCAGCATCCCCTGGCTGTTGTGTGGGTTTTCTAGGCAAATTTACGTCCAGTAGTTTGCCATTATAATTTGGATACAAAGGTTTAATATAATACCTGAAGATGCGTATCCTTTACAGGACGTTGCAGAACCAACCCCAGCAGCCCCTGGCTGTTGTGTGGGTTTTCTAGGCAAATTTACGTCCAGTTGTTTGCCATAATCATCTGGATACAAAGGGTTAATATAATACCTGAAGATGCTCAAGTTGTACAATGGCAGATTGCTGTATAACTTTTGGTAAGGAACTTTGACTGGTATCTATATACAGGCTATCCTTGATTTGCGACCAAATTCAGTTGTGACTAACTGTTCATAAGTCCAATTTAGGGGGCTATGTGGTCTCGAGGCATTGTGTCTGCCTCGAGTGCTAGAGGTTCCGGGTTCAATCCCTGGTAAGGGCTGGGATTTTTTCATGTGGATTCAGACTTCTAGTGATTCCCCTGGTCCCTGGGTAGTGAGATCGGACGCCCGTGTGCAGTCTTGTGCACATAAAAAAATCCCTTGGCAGTTGGAAATCGAAAAGAGTAGCCAGCCTAACGCCGCTGCTGGGGCAAAATTGTAAGTTAAAAATCTACCTAAAGTATTTCAGGATCCTCGCCAGTGCTACAGAGCCCACGCACTGTGCTGAGCTTCTTCAGACTCAGACTTGAGTTAGAAAAAAGAATCGAGCACTTAGTTACTACTACCCATGTGCCATGATGTTGATCCGTTTTTCAAACCTCAGACCTCAAGTCCAATTTATTTGTCAACAATATTTTTATTCAAATCGGTTAAGAATTGTATATAAAGCACACAAATTCAATGTATGTACATATAACTATTGTACATAATGTGAACAATACTTCTGATCCTACCAATAAAGATATCTGTTATTTTGTTTTCAAATTCTGTGATGTCATAATTGACTATGGCTTGAAGTCAAGGAAAAGCTGTATTTATAATTATTTCCTTTATATTTCCATAAGAGCATGATGGTAAAGTGGTAGTGCACACACCTTCACTAAATATTCCAGGGATCAATCCCCGATGAGCATATTATTAATTCTTGGTTTAACAGATGAAATAAATGTGTAAAAGTTGGTAAGTAATTACATAAAACAACTTGTGTAGGCTTTAAAAAGGAAATGATGAAATATATATATTTGAAACTGGCTTGAAAAAACAACTTACTAACACATCATGTTTTTACAATGGTTTACAGTCATGCCATATAATATATTGGATAAAGTGCATTAGATTGCATTTCTAATGTCGGACTGTTTGTGTTAGCACCTCTGATGGCTACCGTATGCTTTTAATGCATGTGTATGCTAGTGCATATGCTGAGACAGCAGTCTGTCAGTCTTTCTACAAGGGACTGCGACAAACATTCTGTGTGTTTTTCGTTGGCACAGGAGCGGAGCAACTATGGGGTGACTTGTTTGCTATGAAGCTGAAACTTAGACTACCAAAATTGTGGATAAAGTAAACAGCTTTATAAATAACTTGAAGTGTGCTGGTTATGTATGCTAGCCCTATATTTTTTGTATAATATTTTTTTTTATAGTTACATGCATGTGAAAACAAATGCCTGAGAAAACTGTTGAACATAAAATGGGATGAATTCAACAG